ATAATCCCACTGAACTAGCGGCGCTAATATCGCTAAAATTTAGCCATAAAAGGCGTACTACTGCCGGGATTATCAGATCCACAAATACGACACCAATTATAATCGGTGTATACGCAGGGCATATGCGAGAGCTGCTCTTGGGGAACGAGCCAAGAGGAGAGAGGTAACTGCCAAAGGTATGGATCTCAATATTGAATATTGAGATTCATAGAATATTGAATATCCTTGTGGCGAAAAGTGATGATGGAAAAATCGCATATCACGAAATCCACTGGATTTCCAGTGTCAAACTTGGAGGTCAAACATGCGTGCATAATGTCGAACTTGTGTTGTATAATGTCAAACATTATACGTATATATTCGCTTCTGTCAAACTTGGATCCTCACTGTGGATCTCTGTTGTTATATGATGGGATGGTGACAAGCTTGACAGTGTTACAAGGAAGTTTGACTTGAGTCGAGTCAAACTCGTTTGTGACACTGTCATTCTCACCTGCTCACTCTTCAAACTTGCACGGGTAAACTCTACCCGTGCAAGGCGTACCGGTACAGATGTAGATATTCACAAGGTGTACATTACACCGTGTAATGGTTCTTCGAGAGACAGCGTTGTATCAAAGCGGCGTTTTTTGGTGAGAGAGTTTGCAAGCGGGAGGATCATTATGGAGCTGACTTGCGGATTCCACTCCAATGTATCGCAGGAGTCGTGTTTCCAAGTCTAGGCTGTATGCCAACTCCCGCTGCCAGTGAGGTCACGGTCTGCAATGCAGCAGATGCAGAGGAGAACCTCGCGAGAAGTGACAACGACGATGATGAATGTTTGTCTGAAGACAATTGTGAGAGCGACAGTAAAGCACTCTGGAACTCTGCGACCTGAGCACTGAGAAGTGTGCTTCAGAATCAGCCCAGGAGAGTGAGGATGATGATGCTCACGCCGAGCAGCTGGTCGAGGTAGCCGAAACACGAAATGAGGAGCAGAAGACAGGGTTAAACGAAGTTGAGGAGACAGCCACGCATGAAAACCGCGTCGAAGTCGATAAGAGTGAAGAAGTCGCCGAGGAAGTGCGTCGCTCGATGTGGGAAGCCGCAGGAAGCAACTTGTCCGAGATCGACTGACTTTTTTGCAGAGCTGCAATATCATTTCGGCGCGAGAGACGCATGGCCGCTCGCCAATCCAGCTTGCAGGTCATCGCTATAGTCCTGGTCGACAAGTTCAACAGAGCTTACAGAATTGGCCTCATCTTTTTGCTGGTGAGTTTCGGATTATGAGCTCCCCGACCATGTTACTCCGACAAGGATTTTCCTCAAGACGCCATGGAATTTTGACAGGTACTCCTCGCCTTCGTTTGTGGTATACAGTGTTATGCACAATTCATCGTACCAGTACCGCCTACAGCTGATGAGTTGGATACTCTTGCTCCCGAGACACTTACTAAGCCCAATGAGACACGCTATGAAGTAACAGCTGTTGGAGTGGTGG